ACAACACCGTCAAGCTGTGGGACGCTACCAGCAGCGCCTGCCTGCAGACGCTCGAGGGCCACAGTGGCTCGGTCCAGTCAGTGGTCTTCTCGCATGACTTCAAGCTGCTGGCGTCTGCTTCCCGCGACAACACCGTTAAGCTGTGGGACGCTGCCAGCGGCGCCTGCCTGCAGACGCTCAAGGGCCACAGTGGCTGGGTCCAGTCAGTGGTCTTCTCGCATGACTCTAAGCTGCTGGCGTCTATTTCCCAGGATAAAACCGTTAAGATATGGGACGCCGCCAGCAGCACCTGCCTGCAGACGCTTAAGGGCCATGTCGGCTGGATTCAGTTAGTGGTCTTTTCGCATAATTCTCAGCTGCTAGCGTCTGCTTCCCACGATAACACCGTTAAGCTGTGGAAGACCGCCAGTGGTGCGTGCCTGCAGACGCTGGACAGCCACAGTGACTGGATTCAGTCAGTGGTCTTTTCATATGACTCTAAGCTGCTGGCGTCTGCTTCCCGCGATAACACTGTCAAGCTGTGGGACGCCGCCAGCGGCGTCTGCCTGCAGACACTTGAGGGTCACAGTAGCTGGGTTCAGTCAGTGGTCTTCTCACATAACTCTAAGCTGCTGGCGTCTGCTTCACATGACAAGACTATTAAGCTATGGGACGCCGCCAGCGGCGCCTGCCTGCAGACGCTCGAGGGTCACGGTGGCTGGGTTCAGTCAGTGGTCTTCTCGCTTGACTCCAAGCTGCTGGCGTCTGCCTCCCACGACAAGACCGTTAAGCTGTGGGACGCCGCCAGCAGCGCCTGCCTGCAGACGCTCAAGAACCACGTTGGCTGGGTCACAAAACATGATCTGGGTGTCTTTATCTTGACTTACCTTGCGAACTCGCCATCCTCCCAGGCAAATCCTGAAAAGATGTATATCCAGGGATTCGGAATAAGTCCTGATCGAACCTGGATTACATGGAACTTAGTAAAGCTGTTGAAGTTACCATCAATACTTAAGATATCAGCCTCCGCTGTAACATATTCGACTATTTGTATTGGTTTTTGAATCAGGGCAAGTTCTTATACTGAGCTGTGATCGTCACTAGCGTTATCTTCTTAGATATAGAAGTACATGGATATGTGACATCTTCTCAAATATGGTCTTCTATTATCTTCTATTTTCTAATCTCCTTGTAAAAGAAGGGCCTAGGATTTATTAAATATTTAATCTAAAAGTTTTTGAAAGTTTTTGTACCCTGCATGCTTTTAGATTCTATTAGCTTCCACCTGATCACAGATCTTAGCTTATTGTGACTCATGATAAACCTCGGCATTAGACATGTGTATTTAACGGGTAGAGATCTTGGATATATTACATTGCGTAAGGCTAATACTTATACTAGGCCTTGAATTATGTTGTCCCGCTCAGTAATATACCCGCGCTAATATCTTGGCAGTGGGTCTGAACAATATTTATGTTGTGTTTCTTGGTCAAGGCAATTTCGAGATCGTCTGTATCCGGAAGGTCTGTGGTCTGTACAGGGCGTACAGGCATGTTCTTGGTTTCCACCACCTTCATAGCTGTGCCGCAATAGGCGGGGGAGTCCTCTCACGAGGCTCCTTAGGTTAATAGAACATGAATTGAATTGAATTGAATTGAATCGGCGAACCGGCTGAGTTCTTGGCTTCCTGATGAAACACCTTCATAGCATGCCGCAACAGGTGGGCCCGAGCCTCGGCTTCTTAGATTAATAGAACTTGAATTCAATTGAATTGAATCATTTCCCCAAGAGAGCGACGGATGGGACGCAGATCTAACCTATCGAAGAACCCAGTCGGCCGAATAGCCGGATATACCAAGAGCATCTAGGGTCCAGGTACAAGAGGATGCCAGCATTGATCCTGGTCTTCAGCAACATGGCCACTGCGTGAATTGGCAGTGAATCTCTGGTGTCGTGGGATGGTGAGTAGTTTGTCGGCGCGTAGGATCCTATATCTCTGGGTCACGTGACGCGGAACGGGCCCAATAGCCTCATCTTCTTCACCACCACACTTTTCCCATGTACGTAACATAACAAGCAATTGATTAGTTATTGAAAGGCTTCATTCTCCCACCGTTTTAGGCAGTAATTGCCCTCTTCCCTGATAGAAGTGAATAGCCTGAGAGACGGAATCGACCAGGGCAGCATAAATGGTTAATAGTGGACAGCCATGGCCTTATGCATAAATCTTATGCAAATCTCTAATCCATTACCGACAGACAGCTTTTATTCGTCAAAGAGAACGGGAATATTACTTCGCCCGAGTCGCTTCTCGAGGCAAAGCAAGAAGAGCTCTCTGGAAGGCGATCGCGTTATTTCTCCGCTGGTGGCATGTCTGCTTTCCTTCTCCCTCGCTGTGTAACAATAGACCCGTGCTAAATGACAGAAACAGTCCGCCACAGGACCTTCGGCGACATCCTCTTCCTCGAATACTAACCCGTCAGCATCTCAACAGAATTTCTACTCTGAGACAGAGCGGGTTCAGACGCCACATGCCCGTCCAGATTGTTTATCGAATGGTCAGCGCCTCGATCTTCCTTCCCAAGGCTCTCGCCGCCATGCATACTTCGGAAGAGCATCCGCCCGTCTCGGGTCATGAACCCGCTCACCAGCAGCAGCAGCACAAATAAAACCCCCCAAATCAGACCTCAAACGCTCAATAGACCATCTCGCCATCCTTCCATCATCAGATTTCCCAGTCATGACCACCTGCACGCCACCCTCCCGCTTTTCCTCGTCCCCCTACATCCCCCCGGACCGAATCTTCGAACTAACCGCCCAGTACCTGGACGACCCCAGCCCTCAGAAAGTCAACCTCGGCCAAGGCACATACCGCGACAGCCACGGCCAACCGTGGGTGCTCCCCGCTGTGACTGCTGCACGCGTCCGCCTGACGGCCACCGGCCTGAACCATGAATACCTCCCGATCCTGGGTCATCCGGTCTTCCGCACGCTGGCCCCACAGCTCGCCCTCGGACCAGCCCTGCACGCCAGTCTCGCTTCCCAGATAGCCGTCTGTCAGTCGCTCTCGGGAACGGGGGCATTGCATCTGGCCGGGCTGCTTCTTCGACACCTCCACGACATCCAGCCCCGGCAGGGGCTAGCCATCCCTGCTCTGCCGAAAGTCTACATCCCAAGCCCCACCTGGTCGAACCACCACCAAATCTTTACCTCCCTAGGGTTTGAAGTCGTCTCGCTGCCCTACTACGCCGCAACCACCCGCTCCCTGGCGCTGGAACCCTATCTCGCCGCCTTGGCCGCGGCGGAGCGCAACAGCGTGGTGATCCTGCATGCGTGCGCGCACAATCCCTCGGGGTGTGATCCGACGCCCGCGGAATGGCGGCAGGTCGCGCAGATCGCCAAAGAACGGAGCCTCTTCCCCCTTTTCGATGCTGCATACCTGGGGTTCAACTCGGGAAATCTTGACGAGGACGCCGCGGCGATTCGGTTGTTTGCGGGCGAGGAGTTCGGGCTCGAGGTCGGGGTGTGTATGTCCTTTGCGAAGAATATGGGGCTCTATGGTATGATTTCCCTTCATTTTCGCAGGCTGTACGCTGGGGTGAAGTTGCGGAGTTGAAAGCCGGATTGGGACTGCGACTCGCGGAATGAAACGGCGGGTTACGGCATGCTAATCGAACGATAGGCGAGCGGACGGGGTGCTTTTTCCTCACCGCACATACCAAAACAGCAGCCAGGAATACGGAGTCGGTTTTGGAAGTGTTGCAGCGACGGGAAGTATCGAATCCACCCGCTTATGGGGCGAAGATTGCGGCCATGATTCTGGGGGATGAGGAACTGGGGGAGATGTGGAAGGAGGACTTGCAGACCATGAGTGGGCGGATTCGGGAGATGAGGGGCCAGCTGGTCGAGGGGCTGGTCAAATATGGTGAGTCTGACCTATACCAGGCTGCTGGGTTCGAATGACGGCGACAGGATGCAGGGTTGATGACGGTTGTGCTGACAGTTACAGGGGCCCCCGGCGACTGGGCGCATTTGGTGCGCCAGACCGGGATGTTTGGATTTCTCGGACTAGAGGAGGGCGTCGTAAAGGAGTTGCGGGGTGGGTGATTTCTACTCAATCCAGTTCTCATTGTTTAAACGCTGACAAAATCAGAGGAGGATCATATTTACATGGCGGATAATTCGCGCGTGTCGATTGCTGGGTTAAATCCAGGGAATGTCGAGTATGTAGCCAGAGCAATCGCAGAGCGCCTGCGGAAGCGAAATGCTTGATTTGAGGTGGTCATAGATGAATACCGAGAGAACGCGGGTAACGTTGCCTTGATGCATGGCTCTTTATACATTGCATGCCAGTCCTATTCACCAGAGCTTGTTCTGCCTTCGGCCGTTCCATCAAATCAACGTTCGGCAGCCAGCATTGGACTTTTTCATGGTAAACATGGTCATCGATTCAATCTCCAAGTGTCAACCGAGTGACATAGCCGCCAACTCGTCCCTGTGATTGTGTGGTCGATATATGAGCCTCGGATGTAAAGCATGACTCCCCTCGGCTGAGTGGCCAAGGCAGTCGTATCCACCCAATCGCTGGTTGCGTGCGATAGAACGGGGCCCCAGACGCGCTTTTGTCATCAGCCCCGGTGCATAACTTATCATGAAGGCGGAGTCTAGAATGACAACGTACCACTTCGGCTAACTGAGACGAGGGATCTTTAATCCCATGTAACAATATAAAGGTTTCATCTCTCTCCCATAACGACACAGCCAATTGTCACTGGAGGTACCTGTGAGGTTATTGCTCATTCGTGCAGATGTCCAGCTTCGACTGGCGGAGCTCCAGGACACCAAGCCCGCCATTCATACCCCTACTTGTATCTCGGCTTCGACTCGACTTCCCTCGGGTGATTTGACCTCTATGCCTAGCCCGAGTAGCCTCTTTCCGGTGTGTGGGTGATTGATGTGACTGAGAGCTTTGTCACGAATGTTGATCCCTGAACGCGTATGCTCGTCAATGCAAAGCTCTCTCGGGAATCTGACAACGAGGTTGATTATTGCGATTTAATACATCCTTCAGTGGCCAGATTCCAGAGGCAAGTTGTCAACTGGCAGAATCAAGAGAGGTCGGACGACGTCCGTGATCCAAGACCCTTCGCTTCGTTCCTTCATGGTCAACTTCATTAACAGGGCAGCAATTCTCATCATCTTCTCCTTGTGAGGCTCCCAGCTTGTTGAGCCTTTCGTTCTCTTCGTTCTCAGAGAGTGTCGAAGGCTCCCCGCATCGTGGCAGGTTCCCCGCTCGGTCTTCTTCCGCTAAGCCAGTCGGAGGAGGGGAGTGCAGCTCTGAGGCGAAGCGCTCGATCCATTCCGCGATTGATTCTCGGTCATCTCTGTTCATTCGCATGCATGAGTAGAATGCATTACCTTGGAGTGATAAGTCGTTCAGGTTAGAAGTAAGAGAGAGTATGGAAGTTTACGTAGTTGTTCTTGTTGTTTTACCCCGGATGGCCCGTGACTCCACCAAACGATCCACGGCCCCAGATTTAATTATTGTTCCTTTACCCTGACCTCCATCGTCGTAGAGCTTCGGGTCTGCTCCATGCTTGCTCATGAACAATAACCCATTCACTATTTATATAGAAATCCTCTTCACAACTCCTCTATCAAAAGACCACGGGAGAAACCAAACATTCTCTGATCGCAAAAAACCCACCAATGAGTTCCGTTGATTTCTGCAGTACCTCTTGCCGCCAATTGCCTCCCTGCAGGGCTGACAGTTCTCATCGCATCACAATTCCCTAGAACCGAGTCTAATTCAGCATTTCCCGCACAATCTCAGCCCTATTTCGAACTCGATGATTAGCAGCAGCATTATCCAGCTCACACCAGAGATACTCACACCACAAACGTCCCAGCAGACGCCGGCATCGCCCTCAACAACGCCGGCCCGATTCCATAGAACAACCCCCGCAATCCACTCACAGCCCACGTATCCCGCACCACGTGTTCCACCCCACGATATTTCCTCTCAGATCCCAACCCATCACTCTGCATTCTGCTCTTAATCACATCGATTGGATGGCCCAACAACCAGAGCGCCTCCCCCGCCAAACCCCCATACACCGCAATCTGCCAGCCCGGTAACTCCTCGCGTCGTTTGCGCTGCCGATGCATCGCCCACCGAACCAGCCCCTCATACGTCGCAAACCACACTCCGTAGCCATGCATCTCACGAACAACCGTCATCACTTGCCCCCGATACAACCCTGCCAGCCCGCCTGCCCTCATCAACTTTCGTGCACAATCAAACGGCCCCATGTAGATTCTTCCCGTGCCGTGCGGTTGCGTCTGAAGTCTGATGCGAATATGCTCCACTGGGCCCGAGACGATACTAGTCACCAGCCCTGCACCAGCACCAGCGATGTAAAACTGAGGAAGGGAGAGGGTCCGATCATGTGAGGGGCGGGTCTGGCGGTTGCACGATTCGATCGCTTGGCGGAAGGTATGCAAAGCTCCGAACGAAATGCTGACCTATAAACCTTGTGAGGCTTTGAGGCAGAGCTGGTAGATCAAAAAAGATACGTACGCAAGCGCCAACCCCCAACAAGGGCATAAGCGTGCCCTGATTTGCGGCACTGTCTCAGCATGAAACTTCCATCTCCCCTTGAGCAGCAACGGACCTTGTAGAATGCGAGGGCACCTTCCTTGGCCCAGATATGGCGAGTAGCAGACCACGCATCCCCGCCTTCTTGAGTCTGCAGACGAACCTTGACAAGGTCTGGGCTGTGAGAATGTCTGTCTTGTTCAGGGTAGCGGCTTACCGAATGGTTGTCCTGGACGCGTCAGCGTTGCTTCGGAGCATTGGGCAAAGAGTCTTACCGATGAGGACCTGTGCAACTCCACCAGCTGCACCAGCAGTCACGTCCTTGGCGGTCTGCCTCCATTCTTGGGATCTAGGCACCTCTAATGTGGGAATTTGGTCACTCATCTTTTATGGGGTCCTACTCGCGTGCTATATGAAGACAATGGGTGAAAGATGTCAAGAAATAGACACGCCTACGAGCACATCCATTCTAGTCGTGGTCAGAAGAGGGGTTCATGCTTGATAGACTAGATTTCCCCACGTTCGGGTATTGTTCCGAGAGACTCTGCACGGTCATCGCCATGTTTCGGGATCCGACTCCGATCCTTGATACGGGTTGCGAGTGGCTTGCCTGTATCGTTGACTATCACTTTATGGTCTCTAGGAAGGATCGAAACTCATCAGCCTCTTCGCAAGTCGCGAGCTGTTAAGGGCCATGTTCCTGTCAACACTGTCCTTGAAAACCGAACGTAATCCCTCGTCATACCGCAGGCTACAGCAAAACAGCCGTAAACTGAGAAAAACTGAGAAAACAATAAATTTTGAAGCTTAAAGCTCTCCATTCTGCTTGAAACAAGACAGATCAGTTCGTCGCGACGATCATATATGATCTCGTGATGGGGATGTGAGGAGTATGCGGAAGGAAGAGGAGGCCAGAAATCGGAATGTAGAATATCTCCGAGGGGGCTCTAATGGAATTGATCCAGTCCTGCTAAGCCCAACATAGACTGAGTAGTTTCCTTCGTCAATCCGCGCTCCCACCCTTCTGCCCATCGCAACCTTCCCTAATAGCGATGCTGGTGTCCATGAGCATGACGCTTGTGCATATTCAGATGCAGAGCTGCTGCACCAAGGGTCTCGTCGCTAGCGCTCTACCTCCGACCAAAAACCCAAAGTCAGTCATAGCTGTGCTTTACCTTATGCTAATCCCAAAAATAAATGAAAGGATGCCAGCTTACCGGCGTTGCAGCAGCAGGGACTGCCGAAGAAGGAGAAGAAGGAGAAGAAGAGGAGGAGGAGGAGGAGGAAGAGGAGGAGGAGGAGGAGGAGGAGGAGGAGGAGGAGGAGGAGGAGGACGGTAGAACG